ACTGTGCACCAAGTCTTTAGATGGATTATCTTACTTAATCTTCTCAACCAGCTTCTGGGAGGAGAATATGTTATTGTAGGCATTTTATAGATGAAGACATGGAGACACAGAGAGGTTAAGTAACTCCTTCAAAATAATAATATTCTGACCCAGAGTCCTAAGTCTTGGTGTGTTTTAGTGTTTCCTTCCATGGGCAGTATGGTTCCAGATCCACACAATGAGTTTATCATGTGGTAATGCAGAAGAGAGAGGGAAGAGATAGGGGGATGCTATAGTACTAAGTGCAGGTGTGTCTGAAATCCATCCAGCGGTAAGTATCCTGCATATAGAGCACAATTATGTATGTTTTTTCTGTAGACTAGCATAGTAGAAAAGGCAAAGATGTATGAACCAGAGTTTCAAACTCAATGAAAGTGTAACAGCAAATAATAATATTGCTAGGGACTAAATTCTATAATCCAGACCTATGCTGTCTAATGTAGTAGTCACCAGTCACACGTGGTTATTTGCATTAAAAATAAATAAAATTAAAAATTCAGTTCTTCAGTTGCACTAGCCACATTTGGGTGTTTAGTAGTCACAGGTGGCCAGTGGTTACCATATTAGATAGCATAGATGTAGAACAGAAGGTTCTTTCAGACAGCACTGGTCCTACCTGTAAGTGCCAGAGATAGAGCAGAGTGTTGAAGACAGGAGTAATGATGGAAGCCTTCCTGTAGGAGGTGGTGATGGAGCTGTGTAGACTTGCTGTCGAGTACAAGGAATAAGGGCAGCACTGCAGAAAAAAGCAGATGTATGAGACTGTTGATGAGTAGAGGGATGAGTTGAGGGATGAGTTGTTGATGAGTAGAGGGATGAGTTGAGGGATGAGTTGTTGATGAGTAGAGGGATGAGGGCAGATGGCTAGCATGGGGTTTGATAAGGAGAAATATTTGAGGGATGCTTGTTGGGTTATTCAAACAGTTTCTGAAATAGTTTGAATGTAATCATCTTTCTCTATGCCTGTATTTAGGCTTATGCCCTAGCGAAATGCTGACGATGTTAATTATTATTCCATTGTTTGTATTGATGTTTTTGTTATGGTTGCTCCAGTTTGTTGAGTGTTCACTCTGCGCCTGCCAAAAAGTTCTATCTGCCCGATCCCAAACCAGCAGGCGATTCTGTCTCCTAAAACGGGACAGAAACACCTGTGGAGGACTGTTTCTGGAATCTCAGCTGCCAAATGGGAGAACGGAGGAATTGGGGGTCCGTGAAGCAATGATAGGGCTGTGTGTGGCCTGAGAGTAGGACAGCCCCAGCAGCTGCACCAGCAGAGACCATGACTTCTGGGCGGACTCCAAGAGTCTCAGAATGTCATTCCTGGGGACCAGGGGGTCCTCCCTTATGACGATTAAGTGGGTGCTCCCTGAGATTGTACTAATGCTGATTCAAGGGTCAGGAGTCTCCATTATCACCTCCATGTGCCATTGTCAGCTGTGTAAAATCTCGAACACTTCTCCTCTTTTGCTTCTCCCTCCCAATCTACCAACTAAGAGGATTAGACCCAGCAAATACAAGCATCCCTTCCAGTTCTAATATGCAGAAGCTTTGTGATTTCTGAAGTTTGTCTATTCCTTCTTTAGATGGTCTAAGGCTTCTCCCTGAATGGGATTTGGAGGCCATACATCTGGAAATGGAGAAGTTTCTCCCTAAACTTTTAGAAGTTCTAAACCCTTTTATAGTCAAGAAAGATGCAGAGGTGACTTATTTCTGGAAGGAAACTGCTTGTGTGTTTGCAGAAGCTATGGCAGCATACTTCCCTGAGGCAAATCAGACTTTCTGGCACATTCTCTCCAAATGTCACAATTCAACAGAAAAATACCTTTCCCCCAGGAAGTTGGAGCAGCTGCTGGAACTGCTTGTTTGTTGAAATCATGCGAACTCCAGAGCTGGGGGGTAGATTGGGCAGTATGAGATTTTAATATACATTTAGCAGAAGTTAATGAAGAAGCCCACAGCTTAGGGGCAGCCAGTGATGTTTCCGTTAATGTTATTAAATATTAATGAGGTGCTTTTTCTCTTTGGGGCAAAACAGCATGCCTGATGCACCTTTTTTAATTACTACATCGCTAACAGGTAGCAGAGCTGAACAGAACTGCTAAAGATGGTTACATTTAGGAAAGAGCATTAAGACTTCCTTCCCAAAGCTGTTTAGGAGGGCACCCTTCCTTCAAAGATTACTAATATTTCTTAGGGTTAGCAGAACATTCAATAGATTTAACTCATATAGCAGTTGGGGAATTTTCTAGAAGCAGTGCAGACACACCACAGCCCAAATGTTTCTGCAGGTAAGCACTGCTTAGAAATCAGATATTCAGTGCTGTGCTGGTAAATATTTAACTACCAGCTCTCTTGGAACAAATAAATAAGCCCTTATTAGTAGCATTTGCTGATTCCTATAAATATCCCCAAATGTGGCCGATTTCAAGCTACCAACATAACATCAGTGAATACAGAATTGAGAAGAGATGTGCAGTAGCACAACATTATATAGTCTTTTTACCACACAGGCACATAAAGGTAAATAACCTCAGGAGCGTAGGTAAAATCATAATACATAATGCTTTATATATAACATAATATTTTTATAATAATAAATGCAACAAAATCATGAGGAATCTGTGTGTTTGAGTGTTTGTTACCTTTCAAATATAATTTATTTCATTAAAATTTGAAATAACTTAAGTTTTGAGAATGGCTGTGTTTAACAACCATTAATGAGCTTGCAAAATTCCAGAAATTTTAAGTCCATTCTCATGAGCAGTTACAACCCTCCACAACAGTGAGTCCACAGTGAACTTGCAGGCTGGGAGATCTCCAATTATTGATCAGGAGGCATGGCTAAAAATTCACTTGACAGACATGTCCCTTTTTCCTTTTCTTCCAGTTTCATATAAACATGGCCATGATATATCAAGGCTGGTCTTGAGTTCCACCTTCCTAGCTCAGGAACCTGGAGCACTTGGGATGCTTTCTGTGGTCCACACAGGAAGGTCAACTATGGGCTCACATCTCCCTGCACAGATAGACCCAATGCAATGAGATAATTAGTGTGATTTTTAAACATAAGTGGAGTATTCATTCACCCAGTAAATATTTAGTACCTCCAACATCCTAAGTACTGGTCTGAACTCTTATATTGGCAAACAAAACAAACAGAGGTCTCTGTAGCTTCAGAGTTGCCAACATGCTGTGGTCACAAAGATTTTGTCTGGGGAGTCAGGGAAGGCCTCATCTGACCTAGATATTGAAGAAGGATACTTAGCAAACTATCAGACACAGATAAGGTAGAGGGCTTCAAGGCCAGAGAATAACTCATGCAGAGACAAAGAGGGTTGAAAAGTTGGTCTGGACTGGTCAGGTAGGAGTTTGGTGTAGAGGAAGATGCTGAGGAGATAGGGTGTGGTAATGCTGGGAGGACATTTTCTATAACCAGTTGGTGCTTTCCTAACTGTACCACTTCATACTGTATTATCATGTTCTGCTTCATGGTCTGTGTCCTTTGGTTGGATTTGAGGCATGTTGTATCCCTCTCTCCAAAGACTCAAAAGTCGTTGAGGGCAAGGATTGTTGCTCTTCTTTCCCAGGACAGTGCACATATTGAGTAATAAATAAACGTGGAATTGAACTTGTATTCCTATCTTCCTTCCATTTCTGCCCTAGTCACACACATAGACCAAAATTCGCCTCCATTTTCATTGGGCTTTAATTAAATTTTGGCTCAAAGAACATGGGAGCAGAAAAAGAAAGGAGGGGTAGGTCTGGAGAGAGTGACTTTCCTTGCTATTTTATGTTTCATTAACTCAGTGGATCAATATTCAAATGTCCAGATTGTTCTGCCTGGTCTGTGGGTTTCAGGATGCTTAACTTAGAAACATGAATTCTCCTGCCAAGTGAAGCCACCCTCACTGACCTCTGGTTGGTTTCAAGAGCAATAATACTTTATTGCTCTTTTTCTACCCTGACATTTATGCATATGGGAGCCTTATGAAACTCCAAGAAGTAAGGAAACACCATTTGCATTTCAGATGGGGGCCCTTCTCTCTACACTGGTCTTCTTCATTTTGAAATGGAGGGAAGGAGAAGGGAATCATACCTGCATTTCTTTATTTTATCATAGCTAGGCTTTCATGAAAACGTGGAAAAGAACCACAGTTTTGTGTTGTTGGTTGTAAGGAAACAGGGGACCTGTGTTATATGTATTTGGGACCGCTTGAATGGCTGTTTGTATTATATGAATGCAAATGTCTGTATTTGTTTGAGAAAGAATTTGTAGGAAAAATTAAAATAAAATCTATGAAATTAATTTTGGAATAACATCTGTGGACTCTTACCCAGAAATGAATCTTGACCTTTAATATCATCTTATTGGTTGTCATTGTCACCTACTTCTGTCAGTAATTCCACTGCAATCCAGAGGATGCTTTTAAACTTCTAGCATCCCTGACACCCACCTCCAGCCAGGGTACCTGCTACAGAATGTACATCCATACCTTTTTTTTTACCTGGAATCTTCATTTGATAATGCACCTTTCCTTCTTTACACTGGATTTCTAATGATTTGGGATTATTTCTAAATCTAAAACTCCATTCACAAAGTACGAATATTTGCTCTTGCTGGGAATATTTGAAAAAATGCGTTGAGGCTGGGGGCACCTGAGTGGCTCAGTCGTTAAGCGTCTGCCTTCGGCTCAGGTCATGGTTCCAGGGTCCTGGGATCGAGCCCCGCATCAGGCTCCCTGCTCAGTGGGAAGCCTGGTTCTCCCTCTCCCACTCCCCCTGCTTGTGTTCCCACTCTCACTGTGTCTCTCTCTGTCAAATAAATAAAATCTTTAAAAAAAAAAAAAAATGCGTTGAGGCTGTTTGGAAGGCTGTAGGGACGTATTTGTGTTTGTGTGTATGGGGGAGTGTTTGAGCATTTGTGCATCTATACCAGTGTGCAATGTTCATTTTCTGAACAGTGACTATGGCTATGAGAGACATGGAGAGAGCCAGTGTGTCCCAGCTTTCTGGTACAACCCAGCCTCCCCATCAAAGGACTGCAGCCTTGGTCAAAGCTACCTTAACAGCACTGGGTAAGTAAAACACCGGAAGAAACTCCAATCACTATTCTTCTGTTTCCCCAGGTTGGTATCAAAGGTAGCATTTCTGCTGAAGCAAGCTGGACCATAGAGAGTTTGTTTACAAGTGGCTTCTGAGGAAAGCTGAGGAGTTCTTTAGCTTTTTTGGAAACATCTGAAGAGATTTGTGATTACTAGATTTCAGTACCTTTTTCCATTTGCCTCTGACAGACCATAGCTATTATTTTGGTCAGGCCTTCTCTTCTGGAAAGAGATGCCACCTTATTTTGGGGACCCTGAAAAAATAAACTAATACAAATGGTATGCACGTGTTACAGTGCCCTCCAGGGTTGGATGGACTGAAGCTCTCCTAGACTGATGCTGGAAACTGAAACTGAAAATTCAGAAGTCCCATTCTAGGGCTTCCTGAACTAAGAAGGTCAAGCTACACTTTCTTTAATTGTCAGATTATGTATGTGTTTCTCTCTCTGCTCACATACAGTTACTCAGGTGCTTGAAAAAATATTGCCTTAAAGACTTGTTGTCTTCCCCTCTTCTTTGCCACCTCGATGGCCCAGAAGAGATTTGGAAAATGGATTGGTGGTCTGAGACAGCACCTTTCAAATTGTAATGTGCTGTGAATCACCTGGTGATCTTGTTCAAATGCATCTTCTAGTTTGGTAGATCTGGGGTGGGTCTGAGAGGTTCTTCATTTCTGAGAAGCCCCCAGGCAATGCTGTCATTGCTGGTCCCAGGACTACTCTTTGAGTAGCAGAGGATGAAGGTGTTCTGGACTCCTGTCTCAACTCTTCCAGTGGATCTTCTGCCATTTCATACCAGTTACTCACCATCTCAGTACTTTTACCTTCTCTGGATATAAAATACTGGTAGGTACCATCAACCCAAGTGATGTCTACAGAGAGAAAAAAAGTGATGGAAGAGATGTGCTGAGTTGTGTGAGCTACTGGAAAACAAGAATTTTTAGCTCAGTATTTGGTTCTAGGGGACTGTTGCTGGGGCTTGAGATGGGGCTTAAGCACTTTTGATGTTATTTTATTGTAAGTGTCTGGTTCAGGGATTGAAGCCATTCACACTACAGATCCAGCAGCATGAACTTAAAGAGATATGGCATCAGAGAGCATAGTGCTATGAAGTTTGAGGAAGAGGAATATGATGGTCACAAGTGATCAGCTAAGCCTCCAGATTCCAAGCCAGAACATACCTTGGACAGAATTGGAATAGAGTTGCATTACAACATCTCCTATAGGCACACCCAATTTTAAGCAACTTACATATAACAGAACCCCAAAGAGCCAACCAAATAAATCAGGGAGATGAAAAGGAAAGACAGTTTGTATTTTTTCAAACGATTTACTACAGATGTCTACATATATCTCTAGGTTGCTTAAATGTTGGCTTAGATTACAAATTGTTAACCAGCTGGCCAGTTGAGATTGAAGAGGAAGAGTAGAGGATATCCAGTTCACAGTAGGATATGGTACCTACCAAAATATCTGCCATAAGTGAAAATTCAATATCTTGTAAATGACTTAAAGTCAGCAAAAAAGTATAAGTTGATTACAGAAGTTTGATTACGTAGACTAGTGCTGACCAAAAGAACTATATAGTATGAGCCACATATGTAATTCAAAATTTTCTAGTAGCTACATTAAGAAAAATTTAAAGGCAAAGTTAATTTTAATAATATATTTTATATAACCTAATATGTCCAAAATAGTGTCATTTCAACATGCAAAACTAACCACATTTTAAGTGCTCAATAGCCACAGGTAAAAAATGGTTAGTATATTGGACAGCAATAGCTCTAGACCCATTATGAGCTCAGCTGGCAATTAAAAATAATGTGTATCTGCAAGGGGGTATATTGTAATTCTGTCTGAGGTAGTAACTACACACAACATTTGCCTAACATCCTCCTGAGATCTTTGGATGGAGATGTTGGGCTGGTAGTTCAGCAGGGTTTGGGGGGTGGGAAGTGGAGAAAGGACCAGGGTAAATATCAGGTATAGTGGAAGATAAGTATCATTCATAAAGGATTTTGTTTCATCTGCTTTCAACTGAAGGGCCATCAGAAGAAGGTAACATGGATGGTTGGGTTAATTACTCCTGACATACAGGGTAAAAGAAGATGTGATAAAATGATGGTGGTGGTGCATTTATATTATGTGGGTTTACCAGAAGGTTGATTGTATGCAGTTTTATAGATAGTGGAAATGATGTCTATCCTACAGGTCAGGACAGTGGACAAGCTGTTGGCTCAGCTTCCTGTGCTCAGATCAGTGGTCAAGTGACATGATGTGGCATCACTATGCACAAAGATGCCCTTGTCTTAAAAGGCTACAGTGCTTTGTGGGGAGGTTTCCCATGCTTTCTCTGAGCTAATTTTCCCTCAGCAGGATTGCATAGGAGCTTCAAATGTGTGCTTCTGATCTGGCATTTGTGTTGAATGGGAAGTGAAATATTAGTAAGGAGAGAAAGTGTGCTGTAAAATAGCCCAGTGGCTCCAGAGCCAGGCCTAGTAGGTAGGAAAGGATGGATTGATGTCCTGGGGGTAGAGGGAAGGCAGGAAGAGGCTACCTGATGAATCAGAGTTAGGAGTCTGATCTTCTAGCTGCATCTAGCTACAGAGAGAACTGGAGATGGCCATAGGGAAGTACAAACAAGTCCCTCCCTCACAGAAAGGAGCACTTGCTTTTCTTGCTCTACTAGTCCAGTGGCTCTGCCTCCTTCCGTCTTGCATGTGAGTCAGACATTGATTTTTCTTGGCTGGTTTAGACACTGATCTGATCCATGGCTCACCAGGTAGGATCAATAATAATGTTTAAAGAGCTGCTCTTCCTCAGATGGAGGGATAGCAGTTCCTCGGCGTTTGTTTGGCTTCTTAAACGGCTGTCTTCTTTGAGACTCAGTTTTTAGGAGCAGCTGTGTGCAACATCTCTCCCTCTGGCTTTCTTGCACTCTTTTTTCTAATCTGTGCCTGTGTACGCATGCACACACTCACTCACACACACCCCACACCACCGACAGCTGTCAATACTCCTCAGGTACCGGCGGATTGTGTCCAACAACTGCACGGACGGGCTGAGGGAGAAGTACACGGCCAAGGCCCAGATGTGTCCCGGAAAAGCCCCTCGAGGCCTCCATGTGGTGACAACCGATGGACGCCTGGTGGCAGAGCAGGGGCATAATGCGACTTTCATCATCCTCATGGAGGAGGTATGTGTTGTCCTGGGTCTCTGAGGTCATAACTCACTGTTTCTAGAGAGGGAAGAAAAAGATCATGTGTCCCCACAGGTCCCTGTCTCAGAGTCAATGCTGAGAAGACACAAAAGGTAAAAGAAGGCTTAGATATTTAGGGACCCTCTTCCCTTCATCCCACACCACAGACCCAGGCTACAGGGGGCCCACTTGTCTCTGGGCAGATGCAGATCTGGATATATTCTTTGAGGTCCCCCTTTAGGGTCTGGTTTGTTGAAGGAATGTTTATCACCAGAAGACCATATACTCTAAACTTCACCAGAAGAAGGGAATTCATATTTTTTTCTATTGCTCCCTGGAGCCTCTTTTGCTTTATTCTAACCCTTAAACCGCCCTGATTAAAAAAGCCCACAAGGCTTTCAAAGAGTCTTAAAAGTATAAGTGTGAGTGTGGGGGAGGATTATTGCCATCCTTTAAACTTATTTGTATAAAGAATGTCACATTAGTTGCTTTTCCATCAGCTAGTTGCTCCATTATTTCACTTTTTTGTGTCTTTTGCAATCGGGGCAGTAAAATCAGCCTGCATTCATTCATTCCAGGATGGAAATAGCTCTGTCGTATGCTTCTTGCTCCCTATATGAGCTATTTCATCTCTTTCCCAAACCAGGGAGCTTTTCAGACACTCCTTGCTGAGGTGGTGGGGCAAGAAAACTTGCCTGATTTACAAAGCCCTCTAAATTTGTATGCAAATTGCTCTGTGCTCTTCAGATCTTGGAAAGAGACCAAAGCAGGCCAGGAGTTTTTTTTTCCCAAATGTGAATACTTTAGAAACCTTTAAAGTTTGGCCCATACTGAACAGGACAGTGAAGGTTCCTTATCCTGGGTTGACAGGTTCTTCAGCCGTCACCCACACTGGGCACTTGAATTAAAGGACTTTAAGATCCAGAGCAGGTCATTATCACATTTCCACTAGGGAGTTTCCAGGACCAGCATTATAAAAACCTTCTCTTGAATGGATGAGAAGAGCCATGATCTTATCCATTTGAATTGCCTCCAGTTCATTTCCACTTCAATTTATATTCATAAACTCAAGAGTAGTCACCATTGTGTGGGGGGCAAGGGAGCACGTATCAATATTTCACTCACATCTGGGTTGCCACAGGGGAAGAGGCAGAACACGAAACTATGAGCAGTGCACGTTCACTGGACAGAAGGATTGGCTCGTAATTCCAAAATGACGTATATCCCTTTTTATTCCATCAACTATCTTTGTAAATAGAGAGAGCCGATGCTTCTTTTTTCATCCAGGATCCTTGTTTTGTGGTCAGGTTCAATTGCATTTATCCGAAGTCATTGACCCAGTGTAGTGGGAAGAAGAACAAGGAAGGGTGGGGTTCAACATCAGCTCTTAAGAAGCCGAGCATCAGCTTGGGATGGGAAGATGCACTCACCTGAACCCATATGCCCTTACACCAGCAGGTAGCACCCAGGGGGCTCTTGGCCTTCCAACAGGCAGAGATATCTGTGAGCTGGGATGGTTGGAAAAGGCTTCGGGGAAGAGAGGCTTCAGCAGGTTTAGGGAAATCCAAGGTCAACAGAGCACAGATGTAATTCTGATTCGTATGCAGGATTCATGTCTAGACTGGGAATAATCATCCTACCTCACAGAGTTATTTTGAAAGTGTACAGAGTATGTGTTAAGTGATTAGCATAAATGCTTATAACATAATAAATCTCAAAACATAGGAACAATTATAATTATAGCAATGTAGTTGAGATCATCAGTGTTGAAACCCGACTGCCTGGGTTCAAAACTTGTCTCTTCCACTACTAGCTGTGAGACTTGGGTCTACTTAGTTAATTTCTTTTTGTCCCCATTTGTAAAATGGGAAAGTAATGCTTTCTGCATTATAAAGTTGTGAGGAGATTAATTACTTGGAACTGGAAAGAAACTTTATAAGTGTTAGCTGTTACTATTATTGCTATTGTTATGATTTTGACACAGGAGAGGAATAATTTAACCAAGTGTGTGAGGGAGCCAGGGAATTTCTCGGCCTTCCCACTCCAGAGCTCCCTAGAGGCTTTACGCTATCCCCTAGCACCCATTCAACCAGCTCAGGCTGTCCCAAGCTTGGGCATGCGGGGATAACAGGTCCATAATACCTGCCCATAGTGCCCAGTGGATATCTGATAAGAGTCTGATGATTGTGTGGAGGGTGCTTCAGCCCCCTGGGAGAGGTTCTGGGTCCCCAAGAGGGTGATGCTGAAGGCACAGGACAAAGCATCCAATAGGAGTCAGACCGGACCATGTGAATGAGCCCCGGCCGACTGCTATTCCCCCTTCCCTCTCCCCCCAACCCCTGCCTCCTTCAGGGTGATCTCCAAAGGACAAACATCCAGCTTGACTTTGGGGATGGAATCGCGGTGTCCTATGCTAACTTCAGCCCCATTGAGGACGGCATCAAGCACGTGTACAAGAGTGCGGGGATCTTCCAGGTGACGGCCTATGCGGAGAACAACCTGGGCTCGGACACAGCTGTCCTGTTCCTGCACGTGGTTTGTAAGTAGCCTGAACCGCCTCCTTTCTTATGTACCTTCCCGGGGCACATAATTCCCACTGTCCACAGACTTCTGGGATGCAGAGCTGAGACTAGATTTGGTGTGATTACTACCTCAAATAATGACCCAAATTGAAAGACTGAGATGTGTGCTCATCCGTGTTTCAGTTTTCTGATACTGAAGTAGATTATTTTGCAAGTTGGGATAACATTCCCAGCTGGCCCCTTCTTTTCAGTTCCACTGTGTTCTGATGGAAGTGTACCCATGCAGACACACATTCATGTCAAAGTCCCTTCCCTTTGCTTTGGAGACTCGTAAGGATCTAGGAAGAAGAAACTCATCTGGCTCACGGCCACAGGTTCACTTTCAAGCTGCTATGATAAGTGAAGGCAGCCCAAATCAAAGTAAGTTTCTAATCTCCGTTGGAAGAGCCAAAGAAGGATTAAAGAGACACGTTTGGATTTTTAAAAATGTAGTCCTGAACACACAAAAGAACTTAATTCTTACATACAAGGTTACTGCAAGTTCATTGCTGTTATGAACAATTGTAAAGACTCTCCAGTTTTTTTTTGTTGTTGTTCTAGAACGTATTTCATTACTATTGACTGTTGCTTGGTACAAAGCAAACAACAGCTGAACTTCCAAAGTACTTTGTCCGGGATACGTTTTGTGTATCCGCTATCCTGGGACTGAATTCATGTAAACTAAAACTTAAATGGTATGATTTTAGAATGTTGGGTCAAAACATATGGTTATGGGTCTGGTATGGATTTCCTATGCCTTTATCAGTGATATTCATGGGCGTAAGGGATTCTGTAGTTCTAATGTATATACCCCACGATGTTTTGGGAGTAATATGCTACTTAATGGTGAAATGTATATTTAAAAGAGTCTAAGTGAATACAAAGAGTACCTCCAACTCAGTGATGACAAATTCCCCTATATAAACAACCCACGTTTAAAAGGTTTCTGGAAAACCGTAAGCCACCTAGTCTCCTAGCATTTTGATCCTAATAGTAGCGTAAGGACCAACAGTGATAGGGGGTGTGCATGGGAGGACACCTGGATTATAGATCAGTTCTGTCCCTAAAGATGCCAGGCTACATGGCCATGAGATAAATTATTTCTTCTGTGGGTCTTCTGAACTCCAACTTTAAAATGGCTTAATTCTAACTGGTACTTTGCCTCATGGGGCTCTTATAACAACAAGTAGGAAATATAAAGAAAACATCCAGTTATTTACTAATTTATTCAACAAATGTCTGTTGAGTTCTTAATATATATATATATATATATGTAAGGTGTTCTGCAAGGACCTGGGGAAGCAACAATACAGATACGGCCTCGGCCTGGCAGAGTTTACATTCTGGTGAGGGAGGGCAGGGGCTGCTAGAAATGGGCCACACTCCACCAATTCTACTCATTCTGCGCCAGAAGCACCAGGTCAAAAACCCAGGCACGTGGTGTGCAAGGTATTCATAAGCCAGGGTTTAGAGCAAAGGGACCTCTGTTTGAAATCTGATCATATCCCTTTGTTAAACATATAATATTGGTCAACTTTCATACTCTTTACAAACTTCTGATTCCTCATCTTGAATACTTATTTTTTTTTTTTTTTAAAGATTTTATTTATTTATTTGACAGGGAGAAACACAGCGAGAGAGGGAACACAAGCAGGGGGAGTGGGAGAGGGAGAAGCAGGCTTCTTGTAGAGCAGGGAGCCTGATGCGGGGCTCGATCCCAGGACCCTGGGATCATGACCTGAGGCAAAGGCAGACGCTTAACGACTGAGCCACCCAGGCGCCCCTTGAATACTTATGTTATAGGGAAGCTATGAGAATCAGATTGGATTATGTGTATGGTTCAGTTGTCCCCAAGATCACTCCGTCATGTTTGTTGATTCACTCAAAGGACTCATATAACTCAACGTATAATCATACTCAGAATATGATTTATTACAGGGGAAATAGCAAGATCAGCAAAGGGAAAAGAGCCATGGGGCAAAGTCTGGAGGAAACCAGTTGTGACCTCCAAAGAGTCCTCCCCCGATGGTGTCACACAAGACATGTGTAATTCCTCCAGCAAGGAGTTTTAGCAACATGTGAGAAGGACTATTTACCAGAGAAACTCCTTAGAGACTCAGTACCCGTGTTTTGTTTTGTTTTTTAATTATTTTTTTATTTGAATTCAATTAGCCAAGTTATACTACATCATTAGTTTTTGATGTAATGTCCAATGATTCATCAGTTGATTACAACACCCAGTGCTCATCATATCACGTGCCCTCTTTAATGCCCATCACCCAGTTATCCCATCCCCCCACCCATCTCCCTTTCTGCAACCCTCAGTTTGTTTCCCGGAGTCAAGAGTCGCATGTGGTTTGTCTCCCTCTTTGATTTCTTCCCATTCAGTTTTCCCTCCCCTCCCCTATGGTCCTCTGCACTATTCCATATATTCTACTTATGAGTGAAACCATATGATAATTGTGTTTCTCTGATTGACTTATTTCACTCAGCATAACACCCTCCAATTCCATCCATATTGATGTAAATGGTAGGTATTCATCCCTTCCGATGGCTGAGTAATATTCCATTGCATATATGGACCACATCTTCTATATCCATTCATCCGTTGAAGGACATCTGGGCTCATTCCACAGTTTGGCTTTTGTGGACATTGCTGCTATGAACATTGGGGTGCATGTGCCCCTTCTTTTCACTACATCTGTATCTTTGGGGTAAATACCCAGTAGTGCAATTGCTGGGTCATAGGGTACCCATGGTTTTATTGGGGACTGGTCAAGTAGGCATCCTCTGCCTAGCATATGCCAGAATTCCAGACATCCTAAGGGAAATACATATTTAGATTAAACCATATTATTGGCATAAACAGTCTAGGCGTATTGAACCACTCTTATCACTTACATGTTGACTGGAAACAGTCTCAAAGCCAAGTTTCCAGATGCTAGCAAGGACCAATCTTGCACACAAGTCTTTTTAAGGATGGCAATTTCAGGTCTATGTTAACATTTCCCTGCATAGTATACAATGCCACTTACCACCCAGCTTGGCCCATGATGAATGTGACCTGTTCTAGTAATTACTAAATACTACCCACTAACTTTCTGCCTGGCACTTCCATTGCATTTAAAAATGAAGACGGAGAGAGAAATTTTACTTTCCTCTATCCCAACCCCCTGCCCCACCCATATTCCTAGTTCCACCAATAGTGGACCTGCCTGAAGGGTGCAAAGACCAGTGTATCTTAGTGGCAAAAAATACAACAGCAAGGAACCGATTTATACTGTGGGTTATGTGCATGAAGGAGGAAATGTTCCTTGAAACTTTTATCACGCTCACAATTCCCTCCACATCAATCATGGCTGCATTTACCAGACAGTTATTATAGTGGAAACTGCTCTTGGCCTCACCTTGGGCCATTAGCTAACAAAAGTAGCTGTTAGCCACCCATAATAACTAATCTCACACAGATTATTAGATTTTTATCAAAGAGAGCACTATTTGACAGGATTTTCGGAGTTTGCTGTGTTCCCTTCAGCTCTCTTCTCCCTGGTTTATGGTGTGTCCATCCCTAGGCTGAAGCCTGGAGCTTCTGGGTCAGGTTCTTTGCCCTAAAAAGCTGTTACATGTTGTTGTTCCTTGAGATTCTATTTAGCCAAACATGCTTGTCTTAAAGCTGGAATAAATGTGATTATGTTTGATGGCGTGCCAATTCATGGAAGCCATATCCCTTTGTTTGGCATAAGTTTAGGGAGAAGGAGATCTCCTTCTATTTTTTTAGGCATAGGTACCTGACAGTGTGTGGCTGGGCCAAGGCCCCTGAGTGACAGAAAGCTGAGAAGAATTTCCAGGGCCAGAAGCTGTTAGCAGTATTGTCACTTAACTGTGGAAAGGCCTGGGGTTCTGAAGAGCTGGCAGAGGAATGAGCGTCATGCGTTTTGAGAGAGAGAAATAACAGGAGCATTGACTTTAAGGGTAAAGGGCCCTTTTCCCAGCAGGGGAGGAATGAGCTCGGCATCTGGGCACCGAGAAAGACTCTGAGGTGTTAGCATAAGACACAGAGTTCTCGCCTCCCTGCCAGGACATGGCTGGCCGGGCACTCCTTCCTACTGCCTCGTTCTCTTCCCCACGGATCAGTAAAACACCACCAACAAAGAAAGATAAATCAGATAAAGTCCTACAAATGAGTAAATAAAGTCACAAAAAGAGCCAGTGTTTTCTCATACCTTGTGTTTTTCTTTTTTTATTTTCACCAACAGTCAAACCATACAAAAATAATCGAGCAGACTTTCTTATTGAAAATAATTAACCCTTCAGGCAAATGTGTTTCTGAAGCAGCAAGGTTGAAATGATTTGCTAGAAGAAATTATTTGCTGGGAGAAACCTTGAGGGTCATCTGTCTATGGTCAGGTCAATCTGTAGGCAGAGTATTCTCAGGCGGTAGATACACAGATTCTTGAACACTTGTTGCTTGTTCTGGAAAGTGCAGTGTGGACGGGGACAAGCTGACCAGGCTGCTCCCCTCACTTAAACATCAGTCTTTGTCCCAACACCTTCTCCCCCAACATAAATTTACCTACAACACCGTGAGACTCAGACAAACTCCCACTGTTTTCGAGGGACATCTACCCAATGATACACGGAGACAGTGATGGTGGTGATGATGGTGGTAGAAATTGTGCCAAACCCGTAACTAATGCAATTGTACTTTTAACATCCACACATCCTATTCATTTGTTCTTATTCCTGTAAGGAAGGCAGGGGACGCGGAAATAGTCTGTGTAGGGTCAAGGCTCTGGAAGATGGAGGAAAAGATCACACAGCTACATTTAAACCAGACCAGAAATGAGAAGAAGCCATCTGTTGTCTCCCCTTTAAGCTGAGCTGTCCCCAAAGTGACCCACGATGTAAATAGTGAAGGCTGAGTGATCAGGAAAATGCCCCACCCGTGAGGAGAACCCAGGGCCCCCAGACTAAGGAGACATTTGGACTGCAGTCTTGACCTTTAGCCACATTTGCACATCAGTTCTATCATAGTGGAAACTGGGAAACTATGCACTAGCAGAGTATAAACAGCTAATTAGAATACTTTAATTGGATTTGGTTAAGTAGGAGAGATATAAGGAAGGGAAAGGAGGAAGAAGGAAAGAAGGGAAAGAGAGAAAAAGGAAAGGAGGGGAGGAAGGAGTGGGGAGGAGAAAACCCTCCCAGAGTTGAAAAATAACATCCCCATCCCAGAGTGCGACGCTGACACATTAATATTTCTCATCAGCATTTTCTTTCCTCTTCTCATTTTATTTTGGAAATGAATTAAATTACAGTCCTCATTTATTATGGGTAGGGTTTGCTCGTGTATGTTCTCTTGCTGCTATATCAGTTGTCTGAGGGGAAAGAAGAGAAATTTGGTCACCTTTCTGCAAGCAGTATTTTTTTTTATTCTTTGGGAATGTGGCCTTTGTTTCTCCTTTGATTTAGGGAGAGACACGTTTTCCTTTTGTAAAACAGCCTTGCCAGCTTCTGAATGACACCCACTGAGTATTGCAGATGACTGGCACAATGGCGGATTGTTGAAAAGGATGGAACCAATTAACCATCAAGGATAATGGAAGAGCCCTCCATGTGATGCACTGACCCCACATCACAATACAGGCTAATTGTCAGAAATGAAAGCGACTGCTCTTTCTCTTCCTATTTATTGGCTAAGTGTCTAGTCAACTAGTTTTGTCCTTGGATTGGAGGTTCATAAGCATTCATGGTTGGGCACATCAGATGTAAATGAATTTCAGATGTCACTCAAAAATTCTGAAGCCTGATTTGAGTTCCCTATTATACCAGGTGCTTTGTTTCAAGCATGCACACACACAACCACACGCACACATCTCAACATTTGTGAGTTTGTGATCCTTGTTTTATTATAGTTTATGGTAATAGGGGTTAAGATTAAGAATCTGGGAGTATGATAAAGTTTGTTTATTCCAGGAACAGAAAAACTGACATTGTTTCCCATGTTTCCCCAGGTCCCGTGGAACATGTTCATCTCCGAGTGCCATTTGTCGCCATAAGAAATAAGGAGGTCAACATCAGTGCAGTTGTGTGGCCCAGTCAGCTGGGGACCCTTACCTATTTCTGGTGGTTTGGCAATAGCACGAAGGTTTGGCCCTTTCTGATGCATGTTTGAGTAGATCTGTACTGAATTCTCCTATGCTCCAGCTGCCATGTTGTTGTTGGGGGCACCGGGGATGGGAGCAATAGGGAGTACTTAGTAAAGCTATGAATCCACATAATTGAATATCACATACGTCTCTATACCAGGTTCATTATTATAATAGGGAAAGTTCAAACAATCCTAAGGAAGAAAGAGTACCTTGAGAAGCTCTACAAACTTGCTTCCATAATCAATATTTTTAAAACTTCATTTGCCCTATTTTTTTTTTAATCCTGGGCTTTCCACTCACAACATAGATAATGTTAAAGGACTCACTTAGCATCTCTGAGATCCAGTGACTCCATCTGGAAATGTGAATTCTCTCTCTAAATGCAGGGCTGTGAAAATCAAGTGGGGCAATGCATGTAAAGAACCCTTCTCCAAGACCTACTAGGTGATCTACGAAGGCCAAGGTTCATTTTAGGAACCGTGGCGATGCTGACAAGTCTCTAAGAAGGGAACTCAGAGGGCCAGACTCTGAACTTGGCACATCCTCCCTGCTCCCAGCTACTGGTGATGGTGACAGTTGTGTCAACAATGACCACACTTATATATATGAGGAGCTGGGAGCAGTTAGGCGGAGGGTCCCTAAATGTAAGGGCTTAATGTTTTTCTCTATTCCTGATTTTGTCTTTACATTTTCCTTGGCCATTCTTGATGTGATTGGCATTGCTCATCTTAGAGAGACCTTTCATCTTTTAAAAAGATTTTATTTATTTATTT